GTGAAGATAAAATAACATAAGATATAGACATCTTTCACCTACATTTGACTTTCGCTATTATCCTTTCGTTGTTTTCCTGTTAATTCTCTTTCTTATCCAACACTGTTTCGCGATCGACATTTTCCTTCTCATTGATTAAACATTCGCTATTTGTCTTTTCGACCTTTTCCTACTTTTTTGTCGACATTTTCCCTGTTCGACATTTTACTCTTCTGCGTTTTCCGCCAATTCCGTAATATCAAATTAAGTGCATACAAATTACTTGCAATCATGGCAGAGAAGGAGGTCACAACCGGACTTATCAATCAACTCCTTCAAGGATACAGCGAGTTTGGATGGGAAGTGAGATCTATTTTGCGTGCTGCATTTAAAAAGTTGGGTGAGCTTGAAACAAGAAACGACACTATTGACATAATCATGCAGGCCTTGAGCAATCCAACAAAAACTATGAAAGAGGCTGCTTGTGAAGCACTAGCTCAGATGGGCCACAATGCAGCAGCAAAGCATGTGATCGATGCACTCGTTGCGACACTGCGGGATCCCGAAGCGACTGTGAAGCGTGCTGCTTGGCAAGCACTAGCTAAAATAGAAGATTGGTCGGTACGAGACGATGCTATGGAAGTAGCTATGCAAGCGATGCGGGATGAAGATCAACACATTAAAGAAGTCGCGTGCCAAATACTAGCCCAAATGGGAGCAAAAGCAGCGACTAAAGACACAATGGATGCTGTCATGGATCTTGCACGTGGGCATTGCTATTTCACTGAACGTAGTGCATGTGACACATTATTAACGCTATGGACATATATGCCAAAGGAAGACACCCGCAATGTACTCATAAGCGTGTTGCAAGGTTCGCACAACGACAAGTTGAAATGTGCCGCCTGCAAAGCACTAAAAGTGGTAGTTAATGGCCCCATGAGTGAAGAACTCGCCGATTTATTGATCAAATCGCTGTCCAGTAAGGAAGATGATGTGAAAAAAGCTGCTGTTGAGGTATTTGCGAGTTTGGATGAAACCTGTGCGACTGTGGACACCGTCAACGCACTCATCGACGCTTTACAAGACTCTGGTGAGTGTCTCGAACGACCCATTCGCGATGCACTCATAGGCATCTACGAGAAAACAACGAGTCCGCATATCATAAGTGCTATTCTCCAGAGGCTACGAAGTTCTGATAAGCAAGTCAGAGATCTTGTCCGCAGAATATTTGCATGGAGTGGTGTTAAAACAGCGTCGGACGGCGCCATTGATACGATCGTCGAAATATACCGAGATTCAGATGAGAATACCGGACGAATGATGCGTGAAGCATTCTCACGCATGAAAATGCCCGCAACAACAAAAGATTTCATGAACTCAATCATAGAAGTATTTCGAGATCCTGATGAGGACGTGAGACAACTCGGATTTGAAAGGCTTTTAAAAATGAACAAGGAAATGGTGACCAAAGATCTCGTCGATATGCTCATCGAAACTATGCAGCACGCTGACTGGCCATTGAGAGAAGCTGTAGCTGAAATTTTTGGTCGCTGGCAATTTGTGAAGTTCGATTCGAATCAAATAAACAACATATTTAACCCAACTGGACAGGTCAGTGAGGCCAGTTTGAGAGTGCTGCTAATGTCCGAGAGTTCATGGGGTGATATGAGCGAACAACATATCGTCCAGCTGAGAAATGGTGTGCTCTCGAAACCTTTCTTTGCCTACGAACACATTCCAGCCAATAAATTAATGCAAATTTGGTTGGCAGATCCGCGTGGTGAATGGATTCCACTGTTGGTTCATTCTGCTCTTGTGCAGAGTACAGCGATTGTCCGAATTGAAAATGACGTGATTCTCTACAACGTACGCAGCGGAGCGATACGTCAGCCGGTGGATGAACAGAAATGGCCGTGTTTCTTGCAATCTGTTCGTCAGTGCTTAACGGAAATGGGTTTGTCCATACCAAATTCAAATTAAAGTGTTACACCAATGGAATAATCTCCACAAGAAAAGGAAAATATGAAAACTCCAAATGAATGTTGTTAACAATTTGTTTTATGAATAAGAAACTTGAATGAGTTTTTTCTTTTGTGATAAAATAAAAGAGACTGACGCTTTATTTGTCTTTTGAATCACTTAAAAATTTAAAGAGCTATCGCCGATATTCGAAACTAGCGCACTCTAGTTAAGAATAAATCTCGTTTTGAACGAGTCGCCGATGAAATCGATCAACTTGATCAATCAGAATATTTTGATATGCTTTCTCTAATTGACTCGAAAACGAGATAAGTCAAGTCGATCTATTGATCGGTATCAAAGTGCTGGTTACACCGTCAAGATTACGACGAGAAAGAAAAACGTTTCCTCTTGAGTATTGTGGATAAGAATTTAAAAATGTAGAGGGTAGAACATTTCGGATTCATAATAGATATTTATCACTGCACAGTTTTTCATTGAAAGTCTTGATGGTCCCTGCTACTTCATCTTTCGCTGCGCGGAAGTTTAGTCAAAGTGAGACAGTTGCACAGAGAGCCTATGGCAAGCGAAGGGTTTTCTTTTTTGGAAGAAAGTGGATGCTGCCCTTCTCCGGGATCTAGAACAGTATCGTAGGAAGTTTGGTACTAGTGACGTAACCAGGATTTTTCTATATGCTGAATCTCAGCTTCAGAGCATGGGTCCCAGATGAAACTTATAAGGGGTGATATTGGAAACAAATGATGAGTTTCCATGAAAAATTTTTTGAGATCGGAGTTTGCGAGAAAAATTTTTTTTTTCTTGCCCTACCAAGAAATTTTTTTTGATTTTTTTAATATTCCACTTTTTAGAGTTTAGTCGGAATCTACATCGAATTTCATCGACAGATTTAAAATTTCACCTAAAAATATACATCCGTTCAAAAGTTATGACGTTTTGATTTTTTGTAAAATTGTGCA